ATGCTCAGCACCACATCTAGTCCCTGATTGGTTTTCACGATACAAATGTATAAAAAACATGCCTCCTTCTACTTCACAGTGTTACACCATATTCTGTGCCCCATCATATATTGCTACCCATGAGGCAAAGAATATGGTTTGTACTGATCACTAAATAGGCGCTTGAAATGTATCCTTCCCATCTTAGACCGTTAGGAATCACTCACTGCACGCACATTTGATGTGAATGCACCGTTAAACAGAACTAGAAATCACAATCTAAAATGCTATGCTGGGCAGTTTGTTTTTCCGAGGCAAACACTGATGCTTCATGGATGCATGGTAGATTGCTTCAGTAAGTGAGTTTGTGAGGATTTACCAGTCTTCTTTAGAGGGGCGGACTCTAATGGTGCCATCCGAGGAGCCTTGGGAGCCGCTGGGGGAGGGGAGGAAGTCTGGTCCTCAGTAAGAACTGAGCCTGAAAAAAAAAAAAAAAACAGGTTACAATGAAGTTCTAGATGCTTTATAAGCAAGTTATAAATGAAATATTGGCAGCCCAGATTTGTTCCCACTAAATATGTTCCTGTAAAGCAACTATTCTGTTTTGTCTTAGAGGAACATTTCTGAGATGCATCAAACATTTACTGGAGAGGAGCAGGTGAACATTAACATTTCATTGCAGCTTTAAAACTTGTTTTCTCTGCAGGATAAATGCATGAGCTTTTCTCTGCAGCCCCGCCCTCTGATTGTTGTTGTTGCTTATCTGAACTGGGAGCGGCACCACATACCGGTTCCCTCCCAGTTTGCGCTCAGATTTCAGAGTGTGGTCATTCTGATGATCCAAAAAACAAACACAGAAACTTAAAAAGTATGCAAACAAACGGGAAGAGGTCAGACAAGCCCCAGATTTAAAACCTTGGACTGCTATCAGGAATCAAACATCATATCTAGGCATCAAGGCAAAACTTTAAACTCATAACTCAACTATAAAGATTTCAGTTTTATCTCAAAACCTCTTCATTTTCAGATAAATCAGAGATGAACCAAAATCCAAAAACCAAAAATATCATTAGTTTTCTAATTCATGTTTTGTTAGCAGTTCCCCTTGTAATCCTGCAGATGACCTGCTCAAACACTCCTGCAGTCCGACTTGAATCTTATGGAATCTTTGGTATGACCCAGGACCAAAATGTTCCTACCCTCCAACTGGTATGGATCTATATTTACCTCAGTGCTTTCATACCTGCCGACCACTTAGTTGATTTTCCTGACTAACTGCTTCGTGTGGTTTCTATTCATTTGTTTTCTCCAGTTGAATGTTGCTGTTCCCAGTGAACCCACCATGAAAACCGGACCACCAGAAGCTCGGTGACAGAAGCTTACCAGTGACTCCACTGCAGGTGGCCTCACACTCTCCCTGGGACACGAAGTTGTTGCCGTTGGCCTCGCAGCCGCCGAAGATGAAGGTGCTACAGCTCTGACTTGTCACATTGTAGAAGAACCGGGGGAACGCAGCCCGACATGGACCAGTCTTCTTTGGCAGACGGCAAAGATCTGAGAAAGAGATGAGCTGAAGTCAGCTTAACCCGGGACATAGGTTGCTTCAAATGTACCATTAAATTGAAATGTAAAAAATGAAAAACAGATTAAATATAATTCTTAAAAGAATATAATTAAATCCCCTTTTTTTAAACGCATAAAATTAAATATAATTGTCATTAACTCACTTTGTATTCATTTCTTGGCTTTCCTGCAGCAGGAATAAATTGATCTAAACTAGAGGTCATGGATTAGCGGACCGCTATCTGGATCCAGACCCACCTGCTGGCTAATCCTGACCCAACCTTATTTAAAGCATTTATAAATTACTGCATGTTGTCTGATAACGTAATGTGTGCCGCTTCTTCTGTTAATATGGTAAAGCCTTCCAGCGCCCCTGGGACCAGGCTACACGTGATACAAATTAGCCAATGAGCTGCTGTCAGTCTGGTTTGCTGCTGCTGCTACTTTTAGACACAACAGGCAAACCTGCGGCAAGTCGGGCGATGAGAAGGAAGATGATGATGAGAAAAAGAGAGCAGAGAAAGTGTGGACTGCTGGAAGAACTGTGGTGAACTGTTGAAAGAAAAGTGAAATGGTGCTCAAAGATGACTCTGCACATTTTGAGTATGTTTGACTCAACCTGCTGCTGTGAAGCAGGATTCTTCACCATGAACAGAATCAAAAATAAATATTGATCTAGGCTCAAGAAGCACCTCGATATGAGCTCTAGAATGGCTTTATCTCCATTCAAAAAAAATAAAATAAAAGGAAGAAGAAAAAAAAACGAAAACAGTCAGTTCAGGTGTTTTAGAAAAGGTGTGAATAAGGAAATTGTCTATATACCAAACTGAATGATTATTGTTCTTTATTAAAAAAAAAAGAAAAAAAAAAGAAAATTTTCCAGTTTTTAATTTTTCATTTAAAAAGTAAATATATAGCATGGATGCATAAACACCAGCATTTTATTTCAGTGTTAAATGCTGTTTAAAGTAAAGGATTATAATTAAAAATGTCCCTGTTCCTTTACTGGGTGTTGATTTTCTTTATTCAGACCCCGCTGATTTTTAATTACCCCTGATCTAAACTGTCAACTTCCATCATATTTAGGGGACGGTTTCTGATTGGCTGATTCATACAGCAAGTCGGGAAAATACGATCCCAATTTCTTCTCACTCTGATTAATGTTTTTTCTGTCAAGGGCTGAAATAACTTCAGTTATATGTTGCAATTTATTTACCAAATCTGAGTCAGCAGCTCCTGTCTCCATTTCCGTAGTTTCATCTGAAATCTATAATAATACATCTCAAATTTGACATTATAATTCTTTAGGTGTTAATAATGTGTTTTTCTCAGGTTACTCAGTAAATGTCAGACATGCTTGTAGTAGCTGATGATTTAGGATCCCTCTCTGTAACACCAGTTTATATATATAGCGTCGATTCACAGCATGTCATCTGAAGGCAATTTACAGAGATGATTCGACCAGAGCATACAGACAGATTGGTTTAAAGTTTTCTATTTAAAGGAGAACCAGCTGATTGCGTTCCCTCCCTACATCTCTGACGTTTCTGTGGTTTTACTCCTCACAGCGTGGTTGATCTAATCTTTACCAAACATACACTCATGTCATAGTGAGGAATAACTGACTACCATATAAAACTAATTTTATATTTATCGATGCAATACAGTTTATCATGCTTCCATGGTCATATATATAGTTTTAAGCATAAACCAAACTGACCAAATGTTGACTCCTACATGCAGTCATTAAATGAGTAGTGGCAACGATGGCATTTTTAGTGAAACAAAATAAGCTTAGTTTCTTACTACTCTCTAAAAACTTGTTTTCCCTTCCATCCACCTTGTAGGTTTGATGTTGAGTGTTGAATGCAAACAGTTCAATGTTTATATGCAAACTAAGTTTACATTTCATATATTAAGAGTTTAACTATAAAGGACAGAACTGTTTCTATTGGCGCAACTAGATGCTGACAGATGAGCCTCCATGTTGAGATCTGATTACTAACCCAAACTGATTGATCACTAGTGCTTACATGATAAAATTCACCTATTTAGCAATGAGATGACAAACAAAGACATTGCTGTAAGCTACAAGAGTGTGGAAAACTACTGAGTCCAACTTTCTTCCTCATTAAGGTTTGTAAATATTCCTTCAACAGAAAAACATGTCATTTTACCAGAAGTAACACAAATAGGTCTAAGGTCTGTCTGGTCAGGATGTTTGTGGATAACCCACAGGCCCCCTCTGCGGTTCCTCCCACAGCAGCATTTGTCCACACAGTATACACACCTGCGTCACATTTCTGCTGTCTTACACTATTTGTAGACCAGCACACTAAAGAAACTGCAAAAAAATATGAGTGATTATTTTTGTTCTTGATGCCCTTAAAGATAACATTTTTCTTTGTTCTAGCAGAGAGTAAATTGACCTTAATTTCTACACAAATAAACAGAAATTTTAGCAAAAACAAAAAAGACCTCGTGGTTTCTTGGTTGTGTGTATAAAACACCCCATTTATTGAATGTGTTAAAACTATGGGTCAAAATGAAAGTCCAACTTCCTTTAACATCTGAACTCACCCACTAAAGTGCAGATAATGTTAATAAAGTACATGTCCTGCTTGCTTTTAGTTGCAGGTTCTTGGATGCGGGACACAAATCAGCAGGAAAATGAGAGGGTTGATCAGGGAAACCTGCTCATAAGCAGCAGTGCGGGGATTGTTGAGAACAACCAGTTTTCTTTCAAACCATGTCTGTGCCTATTGGCCAACGCACTGACCAATGAGCGCCACTGATTGTGATGTAGTAAGCGCTACAGGAAGCTGGTGGGGGGGTGTAAACAAACAGCTCGTCGGTAAAACATAGAATACGTCCTTCTTAAAAATGAATGAGCATAGAGCCTCTTCCTGCTCACGTTTCAACGAAAACCCCAAGTCTAATCCTTCCAGAACTGACTCTTAACTGTTCAAGAGATGTAGCCATCTTTCTTGGTGTGCTTTCTCCAGCGTCGTGCAGCTTTGTTATCCCGCCCTCAAAACCCTGCCCGCTTTGCATCAAGAAATTCAAAACACATCCCTGCGTTGTGATTGGCCCGCCAGTTCTAGGGCTTGGGGCATTGATGGAGGCTAGACCACTCACAGGCAAAAATTATTTTGGCCGCTGGCGGGTGGGGCTAGTTTACTAGGCTAGCATTTACCCATTCTCTAATTTTTTTTCTCCGCCTTGAGCTTCTTTTTTTCAAACATATGGCTTTACAATTAACCGAAAGCAATTCCCCACAAACACACGGAACCAGCTATATCTGACGAAATTGTGTGTGTGTTTAATAAAGCATTTGAAATGCCACAATAATAACATTTAATAAATGTTAATGCCAATTAAGGCCTTTGTTAAAAAAAATTATAATTTAATAATTTTTAATGACCTGCAGAAATCCTGTTCATGTTAAAATGTGTGTGTTGGTGTTGGACCTCAATTAAAGCCAGTCTAAAATTTCAGAGTGTGAATGTGGCTTGTTTTATTTTTCCTGCAAGCTTTTTAGCAAACCAGAAATGCCCAAAAGAGCGTAAATTCAAGCGAGTTTGATTTTGCACCTGTTTTACAATGAATACTGGAAGGATGCCAACGTTAGCCTGCTCTGCTATCACCATTCCCATTTTATTCCGATCAGGGACTCACCTGCTGCTCCTGTGACTTCTTACCTAATGCGTAAAGGTGCATTTGTCAAATAGAAGGAGCTTCAGAAAATGTAATGGTTATTGCTTAATTAGGGTTGGTTTCATGAAAACTGTCATTTGTAAAAAGAAAAGAAAAACATAAGAGAAAAAAGATAATGTGCTACTGTTTTTTTCAGAGATAAAGATTATCATTTAGGTCCTCCAAAGGTCGCTCTCCCCCCATTAAGCTCCAAACTGAATCAAAATGATCCACTTTTCAGTGCTATTTGATGTGTGCAGGTAAAACTGGTAATAGTGCCGATTTGGTTTATAAAGATCATTTATCATTTAATCATTTTTAATTTCAGCCGATGAGTAGCGTATGTTATCGCTGCTATTTTAGAATATAGTTATTGCATAACATCACATTTAATTCCTGTGCTGCCGTTGGATATACCAGTGGGCCTTTTTACCTGATTTAGTGGCTCAAATGATTGTTTCACAATATTCAGAAATTAATCAGCCTCCCAGGTCCCTTCGTTTAGATCTGCCATTACCCCTTAACAACCCCATAACATTTCCAGTCAAGGTCTCACTGTCGGCACTTCAAAATAAAAGCACGGAGGAAACGTGACATTAGAGACGGCTGCTAAATAGTTCTCTATGCACAACCTTTGAATCTGCTTAGACTCCATCAACTTTGGAAAAGCCCAAAAGCGCTTATAAAGTAGATCACGGTAGGAAACGGGGGTACCTCCTTGTAGCTCTACCCACACAGAAAGCACTTTTGCTAGGGAGTGGGCAGGGACAGGCCGGGGTCTGTCCTGGAGGTGAGGGAGGAAGACCAAAAGTCCTTCTAGGGCTAAATTAAAATGGCGTTTTTAAAAAGCCACCTTAAAACATCTTCGAAGCATTTCTTATTTAATTCTTTATCAACATTATTTCCTCTATATTCCATTTTAACTGAAAAAAAAAAAGCTTTGTCTTGCCTGCACTTGTTTGACCTTCATCACAACCATAACCAGTACCTGATTATTTGCCGCAATACGATTTAATACAGGGGTCTTCGATGTTTTCCAGGCAAAGGACCCTTTAACTGATGGTGTGATGGAGCAGGGACCCCCTAATTAAATATATTGTATGAAATTGTGTTATATCAAAATGATCCTATAGACACCCTATTACAGATAGAGTAATCCAACCAAAGTTATTTCTCCCTGGGATTATTGATGACTGAAAAGACATCTTCTGCCTCCATTTGTCTGTTTATTACAGTGTGTTGAATTCATGATAATGTGTATTTAAAGACATTTCAATTAGTGGAAAAAATTTGCAGGGGGGAATATACCGGTATATATATATAAAAAAATAAAGTCTAATCAACCGAAACCTTTGCGAAACCCCATTCAGTACCTCTGTGGACTCCTAGGGGTCGCGGACACCGTTTTGAAGACCTCCAATTTAATAGAATGGTTCAGTTTTTTCAACTTCAAACATCACTGCTCCGCTCTCTCCATGCGGTGCTGCTGTTTGACAACACCAAAATTCTATCAAGTAGCACGAATTGAGAGCGGAACAGTGACCTCTCTCACTGCTGGCCGCTTCCATGCACGGTTTGGATAGGGATACAGTGTAAATCCACCACCGTCGGTCCGAATACAACAGGAAACAAACCCTGGCTACCTGCTATTGTTGCTAAGGTTACATCCACATGAATGTGTTTACACAAGAGCAATACTTGTACAAACCCTCCCAAGAAAAAAGGTATGAAAAGGGGTCTAAATGAGCTCCATTTCATTTTTTTCCTTCTATATTTAATAAAAAAAAAAATTTTAAAGTACATTTCAGAAGGATTGCACTAATAAAATACCAGGTTATGACTCCTTTATCTACTTTTTTGGGTTTTGAAGCAGAAAACCGGGTCCAGAAACCTCAAAGTTAAACATTTTTGGTCCCGTCCTGACCCAACTTAGTCTGTGAGGCTAAAGGCATAACCATATTTGTTGCAAACTTAGACTTGGTACAGTTGGTTTATATCAGCTACATGAGATTTGATCTGTTAAAAGGGAATAAAACCCAGGATATGAAAAGGCTCAAATGCCTTTTTGTTAGTCCAACCATGGAGCAACATATATATTCCTAGACCTTAGGGAAACCTAATACTAGGTTGTTGATGTGAAAACTATGAACAGCCGCTTAAAGACACCTAAAAAAACCTGCCCTTAAAACAACCCGGCCCAAAATCTTTCCAGAATCTGCTGTCAACGATCAAACTCAGAACTTTCCAGTGGAAGTTATCTAATTCTTTCATGGAATCATGTTGGAAGAAAACCACACATGGTGATTCATCCATAAAAGGAAAACTTAAATTCTTGGGAATATAAGCAGGAAATGAGGTCAGACACATCTGAAGGCTTTGTTTACCAACGGCTCTCTGGAACCCACTCCCCCACATGCTGAACAGATAATCTAATCTGAATCAACACAAAGGCATTGTGAGGTGTCGTCAGCTCTGTGCCTGTGCCTCAGGTGTTCTGAAAAACTGAACTACCAGGAACCAGAGAAACTAGTCGGACCTGAGCTAATCCACAGTTGGCAGTGAGTCATCAGCTACCTGTATAGCTGAGCAGAAAAAAGCAGATTGTTATCGTGGATCAGGTGGTACTGAGGTGTTACTGGAGTTCAAAACTGCTTAGAACACAATGCAAATTTCCAACCCTAAAATGTTCACATTGATTTTCTAAAGTAAGTATTAATGTACTTTGTCTCATGCATACATATATTTCTTAGTATATTCTTCTATACTATATAAAATAGTTTATAAAAAAAAGTAAACTGCCTGTTTTTTTTTTTGTTTTTATACTTATACAATATACAATAACAGGAGAGATCTGGGTCTGTTTCTTTTGGATGGGCGCTGAGTTTCATCTAGAGCTGAAACAATTAATCAGATTACTCATGATTAATCGATTATTGAAATAATTGTCAACAAATTTAGCAATCGATTAATCGTAACTGGGGTCTAAAGACCCTAAAACATGCCCTTAGCTGACAGAGTGACCCACTTAGAGAAGTAATTATATCCAATTTGTGAGGAAAAATATCTTGACATTTTGCACTTAAGATAAAAAAAATTGTCTGTGGTTAGGGTTAAAATAAAAAAAATTAGCTGATTTTTAAATAGTATTTCACTTCAATATGGGGGAAAATAGTCAGAATTCTGACTTTAATCTCAGAATTTGGACTTTAATCTCAGAATTCTGACTAAATTCTGATAGGTAAACATGTTTGCATCAAGCTGTAGCCATGTTTGTTTTAGAGACTTTAATCACCTTCTGCTCTTCCATTAATGAAATAACATCACCAGGGACAGAATTCAGAGATTAAAAAGTCAGAAATCTGACTTTGCTCCCATATTAAACTGAAATAAAAATGTTTATAAATCAGTTAACTTCTTTTCATTCTTTCAGTTTTCCTCTTCTGTACTATCCAGGACTCCTCAGGTGGAAAACTTTTAGTTTCACCTGGTTTAATTCCATAAAAGGTCTTCTTAAAGGAACTTTTTGCTATCCGATTATTAATCTATTATTCTAGAAAATAACGGACAGATTAAGTTGCAGAATAATCGTTAGTTTCAGCCCTAATTTAATCCGAATCATCTGGTTCTTGTGGTTTAAGTCTTTATTTCAGACCAGAACCCAAACAAGGTTTCCCAGCCTGTCAGTTTGGCTCAGCAGGACAAACAGGAAGTAGTTGAATAGATGGAAAACACCTGATCAGACTAAACTGCGTCACTTATAATTAACTCAGCCAATAATGTTGATCGGAAGCTGCTAAACTGATTAATTAATTAATTTAATCCCTTGTCTCACCGCTGTTAGTCGCGTTGCTCTGCGGCTCCTCAGCCTCCATCAGCGGGACGACATGGATCTTGTCCCCGCCTGCGGGCTCTTCCTGCTCGGCCTGGTTCTGGCTTTTCTTTCGGTACACCTGGAACTGGGAGCTGCGCTGCAGGCTGCAGCCCTCGGCGCCGCAGCTCACCAGCATACACTGCATCCCTCCGTCCATGGGCAGCCCGATCAGAGCCAGGTCACAGTCCGAGTCCTGGCAGCAGGCGGTCCGGCAGGTCTCCGCATCAGAAACCTCCTGGATGTGGCCCAGGTAGCGCGCTCCCGCTTTCAAAGCGTCCGGGGCGAGGTTCTGGTTCGGATCCGTGGACTGGTCCCAGTCACAGTTCTGGGTCAGCCCAGTTTGGAGGAGGAAGCAGAGCGCAATAAGCTTCGCTTGGAACATTTTGGCAAACTGAAGCTAAAGTCACCAACTGAGAGCGTCTTTGTTCTGAGCACAAGTCGTTCACTTCCGCCAGTTTGTGTCGCACTTAACTTTACCTGCGACAGGTGAGGTCACAGAGGCCACGCCCTGTGCGACACAACAGCTGAGTGGCAGCAGACTTTTTCTTTTTTTTTTATTATAACCATCATATATATACAACAGGCAAGTATCAGCATATAACCTGAAAACCAGGAGAAGCAGACCCAGGTTGCCTCCATATATACATGATAAGTAGAACCAAAATAAACAAACTAACAAGAACCCCCCCCCACTTAAACACAAATTAGGAGTGTCTCATCAGTGCCAAATTGTTTATCATATTATACAGTTCTGCATCTTGTTCTTTGTCCACAGAGATGTCAAGTACTGGACTAAAGTACACTTTTTAAGTATCTATACTTTATCCAGTGGTGTCAAAAGTACACACATTTGGTACTTAAGTAGAAATATAGATACTGCAGTTTAAAAACACTCTGGTAAAAGTTGAAGTATCAGCTTGACCTCTTTACTCAAGTGAAATTGAAAAAGTATGTGCTCCAAAAACTACTTAAAGTATTAAAGTATAAAGTAACCTTTAAAAAAAAACAGCCAGATTTCACTATATTAATGGAAAACTCATTTTTTTGACTATTTAGAAAAATTCTTTGTGGTTCTTACAGCTAATCTTTAAAACTGGGATCTTATTTTAAACTTGAGTTCAGACATCACATCACTTCTAATAAGAAGCTGATCTCGTTTGTGTTTCTTTTCTAGTCAGAAGGGGTAACTCCATTTAGAGCATTTCTGAATTAACTATATGAAAAAGTATTAAAGAAGTGGTTCTTCCCTTGCAAAAGTAGGCTGACATTTGTTTTACTCTCCCTTTAGTTTAATAACTGTTTTTAAAACAACAGTGATGTCAGCATTGCTAAAACTAGCAATGATATCTGTTTACTCCTTATCAGACCGATTATTATACTCGTATTTAGTCACAACTGTATCTATGTCTATATCTCCTAACCAACGGGGCCTAATCAGGGTTTTGATGAGATATTTAGATTCAAAGTATTTGCTGTTAGGATGAAGTCCGTTCAATAAAGAACCTCCACCAGTGGTCCAGGCTGTTTTCCTTAATTAAGTGAAAAAAGTGATATAAACAATTATTAGTCAAGTCACCAGTAGAGTCAGGCTTTAGGTGGAAACTCACAGGGTGCATTTGTTAAATTCCTAACCACGGTTCTGGAGGGCATAGAGAACAGAGCAGTAACCTCTCCCTGCTGCAGCAGCAAAAAGGCAAGGAGTCCTTCATTACACAACACAGAGCTATTTAGCTTTATAAATAGCCTACTTGCAAAGAAAGACAAAGACTATGGAGTGAATTCTGTTCCACTGTTGTTGCAAGCAAAGAACTGATTTTGGAAATTAAAATTTGAAATGAAAAAAAACAAAAAAACAAAACAAAAAACACATCATCTAAGGCCCTGTCCTGACACTCTGTGTAGCCAAAATGATGATAAAAGTTGTCTAAGTCTAAGTTCACTTCAAGCACTTCACTTGAAACATAAAGGAATGTTGTTGCTTGTATCCCCTGCCGAGCAATAAACATGCGTTTTCTACTCTCCATCCAGAGGAAAGCCGCCACAGACGAAAATAAAACTCAATCTGAAAAAACGAAAGTACATAATCTTGAAAATACAATATAAAAAGATTAAATTAAAACAGGTAAATAACTCTCAAAACCTTTTTTGATACATTTATTTTTCACAGAATTTTGTTAAATGATTCATAAAAGCAGAAGGAAACAAATATTTCAAAACCTTCTGCGCCTTAAACAGATTTGGATAAGTAAACGAATGGGGACAGAAAAGGCAGTCTGGCTGTTAGAGGAATGACATGATTCAACAGTAAAAAATGGCTGTTCATATTTCATATCAGATTGTCTTTTACTATCTTCTTCCCAGAAGGCCAAGTCCTTGGGCTAGACCGAGGTTGAAGATTACCAAAGACACTTGTTACTGACTGGGAGCCAAGGACAAAACAATTCACAATATTAAATGGTAACTGGGATATTATCATCCTAAACTGGGTTATTACATCTTAAATCAAGGTGCTGCAGCTTTCAAAGTAAAAGCTCAAAGAGAGTAGCACATACTGGTTCATTAAATAATCATAAAAGTCCGTACTTTATTGTTAGATACAACAGCCTTGGATTCGCCCATCTGATAATCTTTCAATCACCTGGATGGTGACGCTTTGGCTGAGGCGCAGAAAAGGTCAGAGATCAACAGCATGGGCATTGCTTTAAGGTTTCCTATGATGCATTTGCTTTAAGATCTCCTGTGTCTTTATAGACAGCAAAATCAAGTTTACATTTAATTCAGTAATTTAATTTTCTGACGAATTTGAACATATAGGAACAAGTTTTCCTCATATATAAACTAATTCAAAAAGCTTAGAAATAAAAACTGTTAAATACTTGTCATTGTTTTCTCTGATTGTCTGTCAGCTGTTCAGGACCATGTGCTCATTTTACCCAGTTTACCTGTAATTTTCTTTTATTGTTTTTGTGAGTTTTCTTAACAGGAATTAGAGATCAGAACACTTTTTGGATCCGTTAATATTTTTGGTTGAAAATGAAAACAGCTAAAATGTTTGCCAGCTCAATGAAATCCACCATTTTTTTTCTCCATCTTTCTGTCCTGGGATCAGATTGAATCTCTTTGGCGCCATCTAGTGGCCATAAAAAGTAATCAGACTCCATCTGCAACGAGAGTGATTAGAAACTCTTTTTGCTGTTTCTATCAACGGTGTAACTTTATATATAAAGTTGTTGGGGTCACTCTAAGGGTGGGGGCTGATGGACCTTTGATTAGGTTTTTGTATTTTCCAAAAATAGCTCAAACACATATGTATTGAATGCTTTCCTATTGTTGAGAACACAGGAGAACCAAAATACACTGATATTTATATTTACAGATAGAATCAGAATCAGAATCAGAATCAG